TTTATTATATCTGTATATATATATATATATATATATATATGTACAGATAGATAGATAGATAGAGTGTGGGTCAAACACATATGTATATGTAACCTCTAGGCTAGGCAGAAAAGACGCTGGCCTCGCCCGGAGATGGCCGGGTGAAGACCCCGAGCTGGCCGACTTTCTCCTCAGCGGAGCAGACGTGAGCTCAGGGCTTCCAGAGTTGGTTACTACAGAGATGTATATGAAAGCTCTAGGAAAATCGTTAAAAGCCTAATAATGGCGTCATGAGCTTATTGTGCGGTTGTTCTAATGGTTCTATATTGGATTCTGCAAAGGTATTCTGAGGGTTTTATGGGCTCTGTACAGGTTGCTGTACAGCTTAGAGGGTTCTATCAGATGCTGGTATTCAGTCTTGTAATCATCATAATGCTTGTTGCAGCGGCAGCTGCAAAAAATGCTAGTCCAGTCTTGGCGACCTAGGCCTTACGGCTTGGGTGGTTCTCCCCAGTGTAGCACGGCACCCTCATGAAAAGGGCCCATAAAGGTACCCTAATAAAGCGAACTTGCCATGTGTTAGGCCGAAGCCCCCAACCCCCAGACCTGCATCTCCCTGCCTCGACGGTCATCTTCTCGAGTAACCGTTCCTTGGAGCTTTGGGGGATGTTGTCTAAAGCTAAGTGCGCAACTTTCCCCGAAAGAGTTCAGCTCCAAGTTCAAGGTCTATGTCTAATCATAGGCTTTGGCTCACGGTTGAAACTTCAAGAACCCTAGGGGCAAACGAGGAGGATGCCCTGTTTCCTCCTCGGTCCTACCAAAGCAATCCTAGCATTCCAAAGGGTTTTAAGGGGCCTCTCGAAGGCCCACCCTGCCGCCGCTCCCTCTTGCCCACCCCGGGAGCCAAGTAAGGCCGGCCTCGAGAATTAGGAGTTAATATAGGGGCCTTAATAAGGGTTTTGGAGCCCATTATACTATAGCTATAATAAGGAACCCCTAAAATACTAAATTGGTAACTAGTTCGGCCCGGTAGTACAGGTTTCGGGCAGGGACGGGCACAGGATGCCACAGAATGTGCGGAGTCTAGGAAAGCGATCAGAGCTGCGTGAAAGCAACAAGCTCGGGGTGCCTCTCTCTGACAGCAGAATACCGATTTGAATGGCGTGAATTCCAAAGAAAGCTTGATGATGATGAGAATGAGGATCATGATGACAATGATGGTCGTCGTCACGACCATTGTCATTGTCTTCATCATGACGATGACGGCGGAGCAGATGGTTTTTCGCAGAAGGCCCCCGTGTGTTTCAAGAGCAAGCACAAAGGACAGGGTCTCGGCACCGCGCCAAATCCTTCGGGTTTGGGTGTCTCTAGGCTCTGGTTGCAGGGTTCACCTGGGGTGTGGTAACCTCACCGACGCGAGAACGAAGCTTACTTGTCAAGGATCCAACCTTCCACGTGCTACCAATTCATCGAAGTTCAAAGTTACTTCTGAACTCGAGACCATTATCCACACGCAGAGACATGCTGGTTATGCGCCTGCATTCCTAAACCAATCTGGACATCCAGCGAACTGAATGTAGGCTAGATCTTCACCTCGTAACTCAGCGTAGCCTGATGCCGATTGACACCGTAAACCAAAAAGAAACGGCCAAAACACTATAGAACAGTTGCACATGCAAAAACGCAATGAAGCCTTGTAGGCACGTTTACGGAACCGCCCTCATTTGTGAAAGCCTTCAGAATGAACAAAACATGCGGTCACGTCTCTATCAGTGCATCTTCCGGAAGGGTGCTCTGCAAACCGCGGCTGTGGCAGAGCCTCGGGTGAGAATCAGAGGGGTTTAGGATCTTATAGGGATCTACAAGGCGTTTGCAGGGGTCGCTAGGGCGTTGAAAACAATGACACAAGAAGACTAGGGTTTGGGGGTTTGGGGCTGTAGGAATTCAGGTTTTGTAGTTCAGGGTTTTTGGATTACCGGGTGGGCCAACAAGAGCATTATCAAGGCTGAGAAGCTCCATACTCCTCGACGTTCGGGTTTGGGGGTTTGGCGCTTGGGCGGTTCGGGCATTTCGGCTTGAGGGCGTTGGGACTCAGGCTTCATGACTTTCGGGTTAGCCTTTGGACTTTTTGGGTCAGCTTGAGGGTTCCCGTCGAATTTTGTCTTCGGCTCGTCGCACAGCCTGGGAGGGAACTAACAAACCCTTACTGCCTATGCAAAGCTGGCAAAACCTGTAGGACAACCCTTTCCCACCCTGTAAAGCCCCTGCACAAACCCTACAGTAAGTCCTAAATCTTCAAAGATTTTGGGATCTTTGGTTTAGGTATTTGGGTTTGGCCGTCTGTGGGGTGGGTTTGGGTTCTAGGTTTTCAGGGTCTAAGACTCAATCTAAGGTTTCAAGTTCGGAGTTGAGGTTTGCGGAATTGGGTTTGGGTTGCAGGTGTTGGGGCTCTGAGTTTAGGATTCTAGGCTGTGGTGGCTTTTGAAGTGATTTAGGGCTGTAGGGCACTGTAGGGTTTAGGAGGTCTGAGTAACTAGATTTGGGCTTGGGGCGGACTTATACCTTTCTATGTTGGATTTGTTCGCAGGCTCCTGTGGCCCTGTAAACCCCGTAAAGACAAAAAAAAACCTTAAAGTACTTCCTAAAACTCTCTCCACCACCCTTTGTCTTGTTCTTGAAACGCTTACTTCGCCCAGAAGCCGCCAGAGCAGGAAAAGTGGCCGCCAGAGTCGAAAGGCCGCCATGGCACAGTTGGCGCAGAACTTGGGCTGCGTTACGAGGGCTTTACGAGGTGTGGAGCATCGACTGGAGTTCTCAAAGTTTCACAAGGGCTTTACAGGATCTCTCTGCGGGTTTTGCTAATTTCTATGTTCTGGTACGGTTTAAGTGGGGCTTAGGAAGTTCTTGATGCTGGCACCTTCTACTGAAGTTGCCCCGTGAAGAGTCACTGGCCGACTGTGCTGACCCGGCTGTGACTGATGTGGCCGCTGCGGATTTCAGTGGTGCTGCTTGCTGCAGTTCAGGTGAAGTCTATGTCTTTGTATGGCTTAAGAGCCTCATATGGGCAGCAGATTCACTTCTGCCCGCTGAAGAGCCTTAAAGCTTTAGGGTTTCAGTCTTTTCCTGCTTCAAGGGTTCTAAAGTCGTGGCGGTAGTAGCTCAAGGATAGTCTCTGTGGTTTGTGCGGCCTATGCCAGTGACCATCAACTTGCGGCGCAGGGTTTAAGAAATTCATGAACTATGAAGGATTTGGGTGCGGAGTTGGAACTTCAGCAGCTCGGCTGCCACATCTCTAAGAGCTCCTATGTTGTTGGACGGCTGTGACACTTGGGGACGTGGCTGATAGGGCTGCACATGGTCCTCACAGTTTAAGCCGTCGTCGCCGCTGCTATCCATATCAACGTCCGATTGATACCCCTCATCCTTGCAAAAGCACTAGCGTCAATGCCAAACCCGAAACCCTGACAGCGAAAAACTCTACATGTCAAGCTCCTCTTCTGCCGCCGAAGGGAGGACGACGCGCCTCACCAGTCTCAGCTGACTGCTCTCTGCGTCTTTGGGCTTGGGCGTGCAGTGACACTGAGAGTGAGAAGGAGTGTGAGTGTGAGTGTGAGTGAGAGTGTGTTCTAAGTAGTTACTTCTTGTTGGCTGTCCTGTGCTCGGTGTTTGGAGATTTGGGCAATAGCCTGGTGTGATGTTAGAGAAACGCAGAAACTCTCAAACCATTCGTTGTGTTGCGTACGCCAATGCGCTTCTGGTATCTGTGTGTTGCAGTGCAACTGCATACAACGGAACCCCCTGACAAGCTATACGTGAGATACATACCTCAAAATCACTGCATAGTCTCACGCCCAGACAGCAAATTGACAAGTGCAACTGGCTTGCGCAATCACCAACTCAGTGTCGTCGAGTTCCATTCCACTATCCAAAAACCTAAACCGTATAAGCTTCAAACCGAGAAAGTTCAGCATGCCCGTGCTTTCATCTTGCTTCGCGCTCCGCAGCTCTTTGGACAGAGCCCTTGGAATCGCATCGCTGCTTGGCAGCTTGCTGCGAAAACTGAGGCCGGCCCTCCGCGAACCGCTGACTGCAGAAACCTTCTTCTATCTCGACGAAGTATGTGAAGCTGCATGGGCAGTCATAGGTGGAGTTACAGGTATACATAATGGCGATAAGACGTTGTAGCTACAGTTACCTTACTCATAACCGCACGTACGCTGTCCCCCACCCTTTAATATTCAGTGAGGTGTAGGGTCCGGGATGCAAGAAACATCAGGTTCACACTGAAACGATACATGGGGTCTTGGGCAATGAGCGCAAGCAGGGGGTTTTCGGTCTGGGGTTTACCTACACGAACCAGAAACCATCTGAGCGCGGATCCCCCAAACTCCGAACCTTGATATCAAGATTTAGTATAGTAAAGAACCAAACAGTATAGTGTAGAGTATAGTATAATAGAGTATAGTATAGTACAGTATAGTGTAGTAAGGTTAAGATTTGGACCTCAGGTTGAAGGTCACTCCGATCTTCACAAGCAAGGAGGCAGCAGCGTCGTGGAATACCCGTTTTGCCTGAAAGCTGAAAACTTCACATGGCGCTGGCTTGACACTACACCAACTTTAAGTCTCATGGCTTGGAGTTATAATTTTAGGCTGTCTCAGAAGGTTCTCGGTGTCGGTAGAGGCTGCCAGATTTGGGATGTAAGGTCCATTGATGCTATTCCATGTAGGACTTTTGAGGTTTGGGGTTCGGGGTTGGCGGATCTCGGTGTCAAGCCCGCATGCGCCCTGTACGACTGCGTCGGAAAACGCAAGCTTCCTCTGTACTGATGAACTGGGTAAGACGGCCAGTCAGAGTTGCGTAAAGGGGCCGTAGAATTGGAGTAAGGATTTGGGTTATGTTATACTGTAGTGTAGAGACATAGAGGAACTGTAAGGGAATGTCATCATTGGAGCCTTTCAGTGGGTCGAGGGAGATAAACTAAACCCCCGGGTGGAAGTTTCCCCGCGCTAACGCGATGCTCAGTTCTTGATGTCGTCAGCGGGCTCCTGCGCGACGTACTGCCTTGGGCGGACATCAGCTTCTGAGTCTCAGGAACCAGAGGCTGATGACGCCGAGCCGGAAAGCGCAAGAAGTCGTATACATTAATTTGTTTATGGATCTGGAATATATCTTTCACAAGTATCGGAGTATTAGGCTCGCTGAGTACAGTTGATGTTGATGGCCAGGCATTGAAATATTCATCATAATACGGGCACTATACGGACATCAACTCAAGGCCCCAATGAACCCTAAACCCTATACCCTAAACCCCTGCACTGCCAAACCCCAAAACCCCACAGAACCCCAACACCCCAACCTCCGAACCACTGGAGGCCCCAACGCTTTAAACTCAGTTTCAAAATGCCCGCTCAAGCCCGGAACACGGCCAAGCCAATCTCCAGCCGCTTATATAGGGTTTGGGGACAAAGTGTTTCAGCGGCTTACATATGGTTCGAACTCTTTTTGATTACTGCTGGTTGTTGGGCTTACTTGGGGGTTTTATGCGGTTGCATGCGGGTTGTATAAAGGTTTTGTAACGGGGTTTCGGGGTTGCCGGATTACAGGTATGTGTTGGGTTAAGGGCGGTTTAAGGGCCATAGTGGGAGGATCAGGGATTGTTGAGATTCAGAATAGAAAAACCCAGGCTTGAGAGAAGACTAACCTCCATCTCAAAAACACATAGCATCCACCTAAGCCCCCAAACCCATCATCGTAGCCCACATCTCTTGCCAGGCCACACCCCGCCCTTCTGCAGAGCAGGCTGCGCCTTGATGGCGTGTTTGTCTCGCGAGCTTCGGACATGTTCGGAGGTTCCGACCAAGCTGTTGATTGTCAGCAGCCATGATTTTTGCAACCATCTTCATGGTCATGTAAATCTTCATCCCTATCACCCCTGCCACCATCATCATCATCATCATCATCATCCTCAACATCGCCGTCGCCATCATCATCATCACCACCATCATCAACATCGTCAACATTTCAACGAGAGAAGCATAGCCACCATCAGTCAGGGTATGATGACTATATAATCTGCGTCTGCTCAAATGTTCGACTCGTATGTGACCATTGCTTGATTCTGTCGACCCCGAGCACCTTGAAATTTCTTGCTAATACACTTCGTAAGCTGCACACATTGGACATGGCCCTACTACTGCAATGAGTGTTTTCACTGGGCTTAGCGTGTTTGGGGGTGAGGTTCCAGGCGACTTAAACCACTTAGTAGCTAGGTCAGAGTTTGTGGCTGCAAGCACCCACATTGCTGGCATCCTATCGAGAACCTCTCCTCACCAGATGCCCTCACCTGCCAAGTCCCTGATCCTTCTAATGTAGTGGCCTTAATAATTAGAATAGGGTTTCGGTGCAATATTATACGATAATTATACTAAGGAACCCTATACTTGTTACTAGTGCCCCTACATTAGCTCTGATGGCTCACTGAGGCAAGCCCAAGTCCCTATGTACGCACCTGCCCCATTGAACCAGGCAAGCCAAAATCTCTAACTTTCAGAACAGCGTTCAGTTCGAGCCCAAACTCCCGCGCCCAAGACCCAAAATCCAAAAAAAAAACCTTCAATCCCCCAAACCCCTAAACCCAAAATATTCAAGCCCTTGCAAGCCCAAAACTCCTCTGAAACCCAAGCCCCAGTAGGTCGCACCAAGCTCGTGGCGCGATCGCGAATCCGGAGAAATCCTGTAGGGATTCAGGGCTTTAAATGCGTAGGGCTTAAGGGCTTATGGGGTTTTATCCATCAGGATTCATATATGAGGGTTTGGGGTTTTGGGATTTCAGGGTGAGCACTTGCTTCTCTGCTTTTTTGGAAGCAGGGGGTGGTCAGGGGTTTAGGGTGTAGGTTTCCCGACATCAAAAAGCCAGTTTCTGGGGCTTCTTGCTCAGGAATGCGAAGGTTCTTCATTCAGGGCTTTTGGCGTTGCTGTTCAGGAACTGGGCTGTGGAGCATTGGCGTGGCTTTCAGAGTTGCATGACCCTGATCACAACCTACCCCAGAAACCTCACGCCAAAGAAAACCGACGCCTTAAAGTCTAGAACCCCACAGCGCCCAAAGCGTCAGTCCTCATAGCAGTATATAAACGAACATAACCGTCGCCAAATCCTCATGTCAGTAAACAAACATAGTCGGCGCCAAAATCCTTCGACCCCAAACCTGAGAACCAACAAACCTAAGCCCCAAACCCTCAAACTTGACCAGGCAGACAGACCTGTAGGAGGCCTCTTTTAAAGGCCCTTCTGAAGCCCGCATAAAACCCTAAAGCCTGTGAATGCCCATAGTCACCCCACTGAGAAACACGCAGACCAAACAAAAAAGACTAGTGAACGAAAAATCCACATTGTTTTGCCGCGCCTGCAACCAAGCCGGCCTTAACCAGCCAGGCTCCCAGGGCCCACTCGACGTTCCTGGGGTTTTTGGGGTGTGCTTTGAGGGTTTCGGGTCTTAGGGTTCAGGGCTTTCTGCGCTTCTTTGGGTTCAAGGCTAAGGTCTGAGAGCGCAAGGGTAGGACCAAGAGCTTCAGATGTTAGCGGCTTAGGCTTCATGTTTTGATGCCACTACTGGGCCGAAGCCCTGGCGCTTTGGGCGGCTTTAGGCTGCTTGCTTGGAGTGGCACGTGGGTTCTTTGTTCTTTAACGCCCTTTTCGGTCGCCCATGCGTCCAAAGCAGTTTCCTGCTGTGCTCGGGATTTCAGGTTTAGGGTCAGGGCTTTGGATTCAAGGTCGGTCCGTGGTTGAGGGTTTACGGCTTGGGTCTGAAGCATTGAGACTAGAGGTTGTGGTGATGCAGGCCTCAAGTTTCGATGTTCTTCGTTGCAGCAATCGGCGCTGGCTAGACTAAAGCGTTTGAGGCTTTCGGTCTCGGTTTGGGGTTTATGTTTTTTTGTTTTCCGAAATGAGAGTTCCGATTGTTGGGCTCAGGATTCTCGGACGGTTTAGATTCGGCTTATGGGCTTCTTGTTATTGGCGAATGGATAAGGCTGAGGCTTTGAGTCCAACTCTGCTGGCGGGAACTCCAGATCTAATCTAACCTTAGCACAGCGCAAACCTCCGTAGCCCTCGGAGGGTGTCAGTTCCCACGCGATCCGTGACAAAGCTTCCGGGTACCTGATGATTCGCCGAGTGGCGAAAGGAAAAGGACAGCGTCCTGTGGCCAGGGCGGGGTCTTCCCGGACTGCCGCTATGGGTTTTGGGTCCAAGAAGGAAAGCGGAACCTCAAGACTTGGGTATAGGAAATCCTGACACAGATCTTATGTGATGAAGGCTCACGGCTTTAGCTGCGGAGTTGCAGGCAACACGGGTTAGGGCTTTTTGGGGCGCGCCACTCTGTGGTTTCAACTTCCGGGTCTAACTAGTGCAGCCTAGGCTCAGGGATACTCGGAGCTTGAAACCCTAAGGGGTAAAAACAGGCATTGGATCTTGAGGCGTTTCGGGTTTAGGGTTCCACATACACCGAACAGTCGAACATAAGGCCTGTCTAGGCCTGACAGACTTGCACAAGCTGCCGTCAAGTGACAAACTTTCACGTGGCGTGAGAATCGGACACTCAAGTTAGGTATAGCGCCCTACAGACCCTAAATCCCTCGGCTGGATGCTGTAAGATAAGTAAGTGAGATAAGTAAGTGATTATATAGTGTAGTATAAATTCAAACTATATCCAACCCAAACTGAAACTAAGCAGTGTATTTGTGAATACCTTAATTTCTGCACGACCGACTTGGGCCCTCCTGAAACCCCTGTGAAACGAACAGCTCAGTCTCCAGTCTTGGGGGAGTCTTTAAAGGGGGTTCTATACGGGTTTAGCCATGACAAGCCCTGCGCCACTAGCCCTGATGTTGCTGAAGGTTCAGGCGATCTTCCGCACAATTTGCAATGGGACCTCTGACATCAGGGTATAGCAAAGAGATTTCTTCGACATCAGAGCACAGTCATGCGATTCCTGCCAGAAGCGCTCCTGCAAAGCTTGACGCAATGTGAAAGTATGTAGGATCCCAAACCCTTGAAGGGTCCCTCAACCCAAATCCCAAGCCCCTCACCAAGACCCAAACACCGACAAATTCGACCAGGCTGGTGCCTCGCCACCGGGGTACGCGTCGCGTAGCTGTGTGGACCTTCACAGCCCAGGGGATTCCAGACCTTCATCGGATAAAAACACCGTAAACCCAGAACACTGAAGCCCTGAAAGCTCTAAATTCAAAGCTCTAAACCCGTCTACACCCTATACCCGTCTAAACATGTCTAAACTCTAAATAAAAATCCTGAGCCCCCTCTAAGAATTATACTTTAAGCCTACATCCGCCCCGCTAGTTTCAGAGCTTCGGAGGCCCGGGCGTCCGGGATCTGTTGGCCACGGCGAACACAGCCCAAGCGACCTCGGTTTCGGGGTTGAATACGGTAGTCTGTGTTTGCTCATACCGGCCGTTCTTAAACTGTCTGAGGTTTAGTATGATTCAAGGTTCTGCCAGCAGGGTTTAAAGTTAAGAAGCGTTCAAAATTCATCAATAAATTATCTACTCAATTGTCGCCAGATATTCGAAAAAGACGCGGGCAGTCGACGCTGCTCGTGAAAAAATCGCCGTTACACTGGCCGCTATTTCCAGGAGAAAACTGAAGTGATCGACCGACCACGAGTCCCAGCTAATGCACCGTACTGCCCTACTATGCTCTGGACTCTAAACCCAAACCTCAAGTTTGTGGTCAAAATGCCAGGCAGGGGTTCATCGTTGGGTTCTTACATATACAGACCCATATATATATATATATAAATATATATATATATATATGTATATGGGCGCACCCCTATTTGGGGTCCCCTACGTTTTTCGCTATACCCACTGACTCGGTTATAACCATCAGACTAGGTTATAACCAGCCCTCTAGGTTATAATCAGGTGTACGTCATCGACTACAGTATTATATCCGGTTTGAAGACTAACCCGGGAAGTTGCAACAACCCATGCTTTCAGAATGCTGAAACCCGCACAACGCTAAGAATTCTATGACACCCTCGTCGAAACCCCATTACAATGTGCTAAAACCCTTGCCTTGAAGCCGTCGATATATCTTCGTAGTTCATCTTTGTGTGACTGTATCTAAACCGCTGTATTTCAGTTTTTTCCGACAAGCGCGCTGTAGTCATTAGTTTGCTTCAGTCATTCCTTATCGCGAACTAGATTTTGGAACGAAAAGTTCTCCATCTTTGTACTGTAATGCCGCAATCCCACCAAAGTCTCTGTTGTTGGACGCATTGCTATGACGTTTTGGCAAACTGATAGTTTTCAATGACATATCCCTGTGCCCCTATGTGATTGCTTTTAAACACTGGTACATCCGGTAGGTTTATTTGAGTGGTGCATTCCTTAATTCTGTATGACGGCTGCCCCAAGCCAACATTGAAAACTTGCATACTACAAGCTTAGCAAACGTTGTAGTGTTTTTCCTGGGGGACGACATGAAGCGTCGCTTCTTAGGCTTGGCACTGTTTCTATATGCTGAGTGATGAAGCCTGTGCTTTTTGTATCAGCATACTTTAACCATCACGGAAAGCCGACTGAAAACCATAAGGCTACATCTAGCTTGTCCGAATTTCTGTTTGTGTTCTTGTGAATATTCACTGAAGGTCGAATAGAAGCCATTGTTCCCAGTCCAGAACGTGATCCTCGTGTTAGAGAAAGTGGTAACCACACACCGAATCACTCCTCGAAAAGAGGTTCATGTAGTTGGAAATAGCAGTGCTAGGAATTTTCTACGTACCGAGCGAGGAAACCTAACAATTTGCAAGTTGCAAATTTTGTTTCGCTCACCACACATATTCTTATCAGTTTTGTCTCGTCGAAATCCGGCTTCCTTGGAACGATGTTTGAACATAACGTTGCAACCAGTTTGCCTATGTACGAAGTGATGAAACCTGACCACGCTGTAAACTTTGAAATACTGTCTCTCCCTACAATGACGTCGTATCTGTCGTATCTCAACTTTCTGTGTACCGTGATATTCCAATGTTGACAACACTTACTGACCTACTGTAGTCCCGATAGAGCCCCTTCATATTCCGCATTTTGATTCCTGGGTGAGTGACATGTTAGCGGCTATTCTCTCAATGTGTACATAGATCTCATAAACCCGATGTACTGGAACGGACAGACCATTATGCAAAGTCCGCCATATAGCCTTTCCGCTAAAGTTGGGGAATGCGCATGTGGTCCCCGGAATTATGTTTGTTACAGAGCACTGCATCATGCCTCAGCAACCGAATACATGCCAATTACCTCGGACCCTCTTTCTAGTCCTTGTTTAATTTCATTGCGGTTACATTCACTGAAACACCGAAACTTTCGAACGTTTGGATTTAGGTGTTGATGAAGTAGCGGTGGCACAGGCCTGGTTATAACCTCTGTCCCCGGTTATAACCAGGACACCTGCGTAGTAGGCAGCCCTAGACCCATCACTAAACCATTAAACCATTAACAAACCATTAAATTAGTACACCGTTAAACCAATCCTTTCCCCCAATGGACCCAAACCAATAAACCATTAAACGATTAAACTAATCCTTTTGCCCCATACCACTAAACCATTAAACCATTAAACCAACCCTTTAGCCCCTACCACTAAACCACTAAACCATTAAACCAATCCTTTCCCCCAATGCCCCTAAACCACTAAACCATTAAACCATTAAACCAATGCTTTCGGCCCATACAGGGATGTGTCTCTCTCTATAGGGGAAATGATTGGTTTAATGGTTTAATGGTTTATTGGTTTGGGTCCATTGGGGGAAGGGGTTGGTTTAATGGTTTAATGGTTTATTGGTTTGGGTCCATTGGGGGAAAGGATTGGTTTAATGGTTTAATGGTTTATTGGTTTGGGTCCATTGGGGGAAAGGATTGGTTTAATGGTTTAATGGTTTAGGTGTGCAAAAACCCAGGGGACCCCATATAGGGGTGTATATATATATATATATATATATATCACGCTCTCAGAACTTGACGCAAGCCCCAAACTCGGCCTGAACCTGACACCTGACTCCTCAAGCGCTCCGGTGGCTCCGAGCCTCAAGCCTCAAGCTCTAGGGGTGTAGGGTTCTTGTTAGCCCCAAAATTCTGAAGCTGAAGCCACTGAACCCTCTCAACACCCTAAGCCCTAAACTGCTATTATGCTAGGATGAACCCTCGAAACGTTGCAAGACGGCTATAAACGTTGCAAAACGGCTATAGAAGGCCTGTATAAGGCCAGCGAAACTCAGAAAGCATCTGACATGACAACAGAAGGAAATATTATTGCATGCCTTCTCAAACACAAGCCAAAACGCCATATGCTCTAATGCAAGACAATTTATAGAGCCGTGTTAAAACGCTATAAACCACTTGCAAAAACCCTGGCTCAAAGTCAGACCCAGGGACGGTAAAAGCATAGAGCTCGCTCTTCCGTCGAAGTGATAGTCCGGTACCGAGCAAGCCTTCGGCAGTCAAAGGTTTCAGGTCTTCGCTTGTTGTTTAAGTGAGGATTTGATGTGGTTGCGTTGTGGTTTAGCAAAGATTGCGCACATGCAGCTTTGTAGGTTACTGTAGGGCCTGAGGTTTTGCTGGTGATTTAGAGCTTTGTGGTAGGGCTTTGGGTTCTGGGTTCAAGGTTTTCACTCTTGACAGCTATTATCAGGGCCGCATCGAAGTCTGCCTCGATTACAGGGCGTACTAACGCCACCACCCCAGCAAAGCCAAGAACATCCCACAATCCCCCCATGCATATACAATTACCATAGCAAACCTCAAATTCCTGTAAGCTACCCTGAAACCTAAAAACATGCAAAACCCTCAAGCCCACAACCCTTCATGAAACCCTTAAGCCCTGAATCCTAAAATGCCAAAACAAACACTCAGATCGTGGCCAGCCAGGGCCAAGGAGATGTACAGGAAGACCTTTGCAAACACAGACCACCAAAGTCTCTAGAAAACGAAACCTTCATCGGGCTGGGGTGTTTAGGGTTCTGGAACTATTGCATAGGGGTTGATGAGATTTGATAGGGTCTTTCGAATCCAAAGGAACCTTCTTATACTTCGAGCTTAATCTGGTCAAGTCGGCGTTTGTGTCTTGGGATAAATGTGCCGGGGCCTACATGAAGGGCTTGTACACTTATATACAGCACAATCAACCATAGTTACAAACTATAATTACCTCAAGCTTTCAACTCCAATAACAATAGTTGTGGGTCGCAGGCTCCGGGGATGCATGCCTTGAGTTCTATAGGAATAGGAATAGGGTTTAGATCGCTCGTGAAGTATCCGAAGGTTTAGGGGATGCAGCGGAAAAACTCCAAATTACTCACCTGGCTTGTTGCCCCCTCAAAGAACGAAGAAGCTACATGATGTCTACAGCCTCAAGATTGTAGCCTGTAACTTAACATCTAAACACGACTTTCATGTGCCAAGCAAACACCATGTTCATGTGCAAGGTACACGAGGTTTGATCATGATACAGCCGCAAGAAGACTAACGTTCCGTTGGTCGATGTTAGGAAACCATAGGCCAACAGTTTAAAGTTCGCCATCTCAGCTATTGTTTCAAAAACATTCTAGACATTCCCAGTGCAACAACAACTGCACCTTTGCGGTTTCGGGCTTGAGGATGATGAGGGCGCTCAGCGTCGGATTCAGCTTCTTTCCGGCTTGCTCGACTCAAACATTTCCATGCTCATCGCGACCACTCTGGAGCACACTTTCACCTCTTGGTGTACGACGATGATGGGCTCGTTTGATACGACAGGCCGATTGCCGCGTCTTACTGCATCAGCAAGATTGGTGTTGCTTCGGGTTTAAGGTTTCGTAGGAGCGAGCTCCGCAGTCTTATCACGAAATGTTCCTTCCCTAAGCGAGGAAAGGGATCATGGTATGAAGACACTCAACACGAGCGGCTACACGATTCAGAGCTCTTACTTTGCTGTGAGGTTCTGAATACCGCTTCCCTGCGATTGCACCCCAACCCCTAGACTGAACCTAGATGCCGAGAACCTGATCCCGAAACTCTAAGCCCAGGAGCGGTTTGCGGCCACGCCGACCACTGCAAATCCACATCTCAGTCGTCTACCCCGGAACACTGGCACACTTAGAGTCAGGGGACTTAGTATTTTTGCATGTAGGGCAGTTACGTTTCTTGAACTGAACCCACTTCAGCGACTCACAACCTTGCCTGCTAAGTCTCCTGAGCCATTAGGCCGGCTAGCTTTTCGCGTCACTGACACGACACTTTATCAAAGACCACTAGTCAGGTTTCCTGTAACTTGAGACTCCTACAATACCTCCCTAAATGACCCAAGTGAGTAAACAAGTTATACTTATAGTTATAGGAACCAGAAAAGTTTATAAAGCCTGGGTCTTGGAGGCTTCACGTGGCTCGCCGACCAGATCAGGCCCAAGGCGAAAGCATGCAAAACTAAACCCCATTGCGGTAAGGCGGCAGCCATCAGGGAACCGGGAACAATTAACCTGACCTCGGATTAGAGGCTGTTCGGAAAGCCGGACACCCTTGACCCGGTTTAGGGTTTAGGGTTTAGGGTACGTCGGGCAAAATCTCTCGTTTGACCGGGCTATTGTCTGCATCATGAGTAAGAGCACGAAGATGATGGCGAACCAGTTGTGACATGCGCAGTACAGTCATCGATGGACGGAAGCGCACGTCGATCGCTGTATGGCGGCCCCATGAGCCGCCCGATTTGAAGATGCCGACGATGTCATGCACCGTTGACAAGCATTCGCGCAGTTCGGCCCTGCATTGGACCTGGGTCGCCATGTCATTCATGTTCGAAAGCAAAGGGTCCGAGCCGCGATGGAAAGCAGGGACGGCTTGCAACCCTTGAGGAAGGCACTTCCACTCCCGATTTCCATCCGAGTCATGCAGCCATCCCCATTGCGGCTTCTGGAAAGCTTGTAGATGTAGTATCCCATTTAGACAACCTTCCGAAACTCTATGATGCATGATAAACAGCCTTCTGCAACCCTACGAAAGCGCTTGCCAAACCAAATTCAACTTTGCCATTTCTGAAAACCTTGTAAAAGTCTCTTGTCAGCTCTTATGGAAACCCTACCGAAACTAAATCACAGCTGCAGACCTTATTCGTCATAATCGTTGTGAACCCCCTCCTAAACAAGCTTTTTCATGTGACCCTAACTAAAGGAAACGATGACTTAGTGATTGCAACCCGTACCACCTCAACCTCCAAATCCTAAACCCCTGAACCTCTGAGCCCTAAACCTGAACCCCCAAATCTCTGAACTCTGGAGCACAAGCGCAGGCCGCAGGATCGACCCTTCTGAAACATAAACCGCTGAATCCTAAACTGTACAACCCAAATTGCCTAAACCCCTACATTGATCCGCAAAAAGTCGAAACTGGGTGTTGGTATGCTCCATAAACTGCTTTTGCTGCAACAAATGGACACTGAGTTTCCAACTCTTTGGTCTTTGGCCATTAGTAAAAAAACTACACCCCTATACCCGACTGTTTAGGGTTTGGGTTGGGTTTTGAAGCTGATTGCATGTCTTCCTGCGACCTGGTCGCTGCACCGCGCCATCCAACCGTTCCTGGCGCAGATTTCTTTCAGAGTTTCAAAGGGCTTCACAAGGGCTTCAGAGTTCGTGAGGGTTTTTGTGTAAGCGTTGTCCGACGGCTCTATTGGTTGTTTGGAGGTGCTACGGGGCTCAAACAGGGCTTGAGAAAAGGTGCTGTTCATGTTAAACTATCCAAAAGGGTCTTCTGAAAGGGATTTGGGGTGTCGGGTTGAGCACTTAGGACTCAAGGCGACAGGTTTTTGGGGGGTATAGGGTTCAGGGGGTAGGTCGTGGAATGTGTTGCAAAACACCAGGTGTGGTTTGGGGTTTTGAGTATCCTGACGCATGCTCTCTGAACCCAAAACTTCCGGAGCTGCACGGTTCGGCTGAACTTCAAAACCTACAAAGGCCGTGTCCTCTCAAGACTGCTTCGAATTCTGGATGGTCGGTGCTTTTCGGGGCTTCGCCTGCAAATCTACCCTGAGACAACCAGTATAGGGACCTACGTAATCAGTGTAGGGCGTGGAGAATTTCATACCCGAGCTATCATGTTAGGGAAGCCGGAGGAGAAACCAAATAAACAAACCTCTTATGAACACCCCAATAAAAGCCTTGCACTAGCTGTGAAACTTGGAATGCCAAGCCGCCAGTTCACCAACGAGGCGGCAGTGGTCCAGCCGAAATGTAAGGTGATAGGAACCTAGGGACCAGTTGAGGCAAGAGCTTGGCAATGGGGTTTGGGGCTTAGGGTTTGGGATTTTGCGATGAAGGGCTGAGGGTTCAGGGCATGAGGAGTTTCGGACCATCGAAGTTAGATGTAAGCTTTGGGGCCGAGGCTTTGGGTTCGGAGCTGCAGGTTTCTCGTACTTATTGTTGGGACTCTTAGGGTTTGGGCTTTCGGGGTTTAGTGTGTATAGGGCTTCTAGTCGTGTTAAGAAGCAGTTTTGCTGACCCAGCAAACCCTGAATCCTGCTACTGCATCGATCGTTTCTGCCGTCGAGCTGAGTAATGTCTGCATGTGAAAGCTTCGGAGTCTCTCCCCAGACAGCGGTGTTCAGCAAATTGCTGAAGTTGCCACAACCATAGGGTTTTGCGGGTTCTAAGAAACGTATTTCAAGCGACCGTAATCAGGACGTATGGCAATAAACATCTTATCCTTATTCTGGAAAGTTACATTCAGCTCCTGAGCAGGAGCCCTGGACCTCGACACTCGAAGCCCAACATCCCGACGGCCCCATGTGCTTGAAATGCTGCGGGCTTAGATAGCTAGTCACTGCTAGCCACGATGCAGAGCTCCGTGGCGGGCCTGGGTTGCTCAGAGCCTGACTCCCCAACTTTGCCTCAACCGATGCCTACGAACCCAAACCCTTTCATGATGTTTGAAGCTTCTCAGCCTGAAACCACAGGGAGTTTGAGGTTTCCTCGGAGGTTCTCGCTTGGTCGTAAGCCCCATACCCTTGGAACACGAAAGCCCGTAAAACCCTGGCCCTTAAAACTAAACCTCAACCCGCTGAGTGTCCGCACATAGACGAAGAAGGCCGACTGGAGGTCTAGCGACTTGTAGCCAGAGCCCTGCACCCCAGCACGGAGTTTTTCAGGTCGATCTTGCGGATTGTGCAAGATCAGGGGCCCCTGGCTTAAGCGTCCTGAGAATAAGGGCTCCAGGGTCTGCAGTGGAGATTTTAATCTGTGCTTATGATTTAAACCACACCGTGGAGCTACTCCACACTGTATACACCCGTTGTTGACAATCGTCCAATGTGCTGACGGATGTCCTGAACGCAGGGTTTAGGCAACCGACAAGGAAAATGCTTGATGCGCTCGCCCAAAAGTCTGTCTAAAATTACTATGAAAAAATGGGCGAGAGAACAAAAAAATCCATTCAATAGATGCTACAACAACCATGTCAGAAGGTTGAGTGTACACAACACCCTGAGAGTCGCTGATGGCACTCAGCGATGGTTTCCAATCATCTCTAAGCCACGCGTACACGGCCTTGCCTCCACTCGGAAAGCTTTCGCGCATTTCCTTACGCCACATTGAGATGCGTCGCTTAGCATCACTCTTTTGCGTGTCAGCCGCCAATGCTTGCAATGCTTCAATTATGGGAGTCGGAAGGCACATGGAAAGATTAAGCATTTAAAAAAAGGCCACATAGGACACCAACTTTTTCCATAACACCTCAATGTCATGGACGTCTTGACTTCTAGGCTTAGAGTTTGTAAAGCGGCACAGATTGACTCGAAGTTCATTGGCCCTCCTAAGCATTTTATGGCACTTATTTGACCAATGCTTAGTGGTTCATGCTTACTTGCCACAGGGCACTTAATCCCTCTATGGTGCCCCTTTTCACCCGCAATTTGCTGGTCGGCAGACGTGCATCTGGCTTGTAGGTAGGTTTCTGCGACGTTTGCAAAAACCATCCAAGCTGAATCAGCATCATTCCTCTTGGGTGCTTTCACAAAAGCATCATATCTGTCAGCAACGATACTTTCAGCAATCGCATCCTTTTGCTCCCTACTGTTAAAGTCCCTGAGCATGTAAGCAATGTGTCGGCGAGGCGTGCTGTTCCAATATGAACCAACTGCAGTGAAGAACTCATCGCGTACCTGAGCGGGTTGCTGCAAAGTCGGTCCATATGTAGAGATGAGGCTCCAGCGCCCTTCACTGCCCTGGAGCGCCAGCGAAATCTCCAAAAGTCGTCTTGGCAATAGCACCTTGGACGAAGAGCCGCCCTTTTGCCAGGCAGTCGTAGCGGCTGGAGTTAGCAAGAAAGCGGCCCCGCCAAGGGCCTAGGGCATCATTCGAATCAAGGCCGCTCCATATCAAAGTAAACCCGCCGCCTACAGCAGCGGACCCGCTGCCAGCAATACGTGTCTCGCTCAGCGCAAGAGCGTACAAGCGATGATCAAGCATGCGTTGTTTCAACACTTCCAAAGAGTCACTGCATGAAGAGTCCAAACTCCCATCTGGAGCTATCTTGAAGCAATGCCTGAGGGTGCGAACGTTCCAACACCCTAAAGAGCAGCTGGAAAATAGAAAACGAATGTGTGGGGGGCAGCCGTGAATAGCCTGATATCGTCGCAGATTCCGCTTGGAGGCTTGCAGCATATGCTTGCCCCGAAACGTCATTAATGGACACGAGTCATCAAGGCAGTCGGTCGATTCCATCTGTAAAGCCCACATGATTGGCACGAGTGCGAAAAGAAAAAGGAAGCAGCAAGCCGCAAGCTCGATACTCCCTGTCACCGCTGAGCTCCCAAACACGAGCCACTCGGAAATGGCAGCAGGTATGCGGGTGCACCCAGCGGCCTACGTCTGCCACTTAGCCAGTATGACAAGCTCCCCCGAAGGGGCGAGGGGCGATCATCTTCACATGTAGTGGTGCCATACTGTTGCCACCCCCCTGCCACGATGAGGCAGGCAGTCCGGATTCAGGGGGGATCCCATTGTCGGCGGCGGCGGCGGTGAGCAATGTCGCCGTCGGGAGAGCATATCGTAGCCGTTGTAGAATGAAAAGCCACAGCTCCCATCATCGTAAATGCGATGGCAAAAGCTGGCAGTGCGCACGGCGCAGAAAACAAAACCAGGGGCCTAAACCTAAAACTAGGGAAACAAGTGCAGGCAGACGTATACTGCGAGGCGCGGCGTATGAGAGTGCAAGCGCCACAAACTAATTAAACCTCTAAACCAAAGGCAAGCGAGGCCTGCGAGGCAAACGTGTGCAAGTCGCGCCACAGCGCAGCAAACTAATTAAACCCCCAAACCACAAGCACCCATAAACAGAGTTTACTGAAGGATGCAGTGCAGGGCAGGTTTCGTTTGTACAGTGGAAAAAGGCCTGCCGGGGATTGATAAAGCTAGTCACTGAAGCCGCATCCGACACAGAGTTGACTGAAAGGACACGGCAAGCGGCCAGTAAAAGACTCTCGCCCGGTTCTAAGGCTTCGGGCTTTGGAGCCAAACTTTGCCGAATATCACAAAGCCCTCTACTGCATTGCGTATTGCACCATGCACACGCGAACTTGTCCATCGGGGAGCCCAACCCCATTCTTTTCGGTTCAAGAGGCCCATAAACTTGAGCCCCTGCGCAATGCCACAAGCTTTTTCCAGGGTTTGGGCGTAGGCTTCAGGTCGGGTAGGTTTTTTGATTTAGGGTATTCTAGGGTGTCAGTTAAATGACCATTCTGTTGCTTAAAGCTGGTTGTGCTCCTCCGAGACCCGGCCGGAACCCGGAAGCCTCAAGCACAACCAACCCACAGTCACGCAAGTCCTAAAATCCTAAACACCCTGAAAGTACCCCAAGCCCAGAAGAAACCCCCAAACCACAACCCGTACCTGTGAAAGCCCAAAACCCTGAATTCTGGAAATCTGAGCGAAATTGATTCCTGAAAAAGTTTGAACTAGAAAGATCAAATCCTCATAGACTATATAAAACCCCAAACCTGCAAACATAAAGACCACGAGCCTAAACCCGAAAGCCTGAACCCCGAGAACCCTGAACACCCCAAACTCCCCAAATGATGAGACAGGGTTTAGGGTTCAGGGTTTAGGGTTCAGGGAGACACCCTTCCTGGCTCTGTGCCTTGGCGCGCCGAGCGGAGATCACCTGGGAGCTGCAAACACAGCGACGTGTAACGAGAGCTGGGGTAAAGGGTTTAGGCATTGGGATTTAGTGGTTTTGGGCTTGGGATGAGAAGAGAGTTTTAAGGCTTAGGGCTTTGGGTAGTACGGGCTACCATACTTCCCCAACAAAAAGCCCAAGTTGGTTCAGGAAGATATCTTTGAGCATATACTGTAGACCATCTTATTGGTTCCTTCCCTGGTCTTCAGCATCAGGAACTTTCCATGATTTTTGAGTCAGGGATACTTCATTTTGGGTGCGTAGAATAACGATGTTACTCTAAGCCCAGACGCCTAAATGAATAGTTTTCAGGATAATGATCCTACTACTCAGCGACTTGACTGCCCAGAGAGCCCACTACTACCCCTCAACTCAGAACTATACGTAAAATATCTTAAAACCATGCTGTGGAATCCAAGGAAGATCCAATCATCAAGAGGTATTGAAAGCCTATTCATTCCCAGAAGGCCTTCAGGAGTAAGAACCCAATAGATCCTACAAAGCATCCCATGACACCCATGGAAACCCTATTGGAAAACAAGCGTATTATTTAAATCCATATGAGCCATGGGCTCTTATGGGCCAGGGTACCCTGAACCCTCAACCCTTTCACCCTAAAGCCTAAACCCCTTCGCGTTTCGAGCCTCGTAGTGCGCCAAACCCAGGGAGATGGCGATTCCTTGCTCCGCTCTGCTCTTGCTTAGGGCTTAGGGTTTTGGATTTAGGATTTAGGGTTTAGGAGCTATTTTCCGGATCGTGCTAGTTTGCGCTTCAAAGTTCTGGGCTAAAGGGTTTAAACTGGAGCGGGTTGAAGGTGTTTTGTGGTTTAGGGTTTAGAGGTTCGGGTTTCGGGGTCTTGGGGTTCTGATGGGCATAAGCCTGAAAGACATTATATACTATGTGGTTCAAAGGTTCTTTGGGTTGAAAACTCGCAGGCAAGGATTTTTGCGACATAGGGCATTAAACCGTACTGCGTCCGGTTTTGGCATTGCGGAAATTAAGGCATCAGGTGTTTATGGCTTCACGTTCAGTGTGCTATCGAACAGTTAGTTTTAATTGAATGCCATTTTTCGTCAGGGCTGATCCTATACTCCGAACCCTGTGAGCCTAAGCTGAAGCCTAAACCATACCCCCAAGCTTGGAACCTAAAGATCTGAATCAAGACCCAGGCGCCAGAGAGAAACACGGCACTGATCCAAAGCAGACCTGGGCTGTCCTGAGCCGAAAGCGTAGCATCTGGTGGGTTTTCTGGCTTGGGAGCGATGATCACTCTGATTCTGATGATAACATTGGCGACGATGATGATGAGGAAAGTGGTGGCGATGATGCGTGCTGATGACGACGATGATGATAATGCTCATTATCGTCATCACGATGCTGCTGATGACGGTAACGGTGCTGCTGGCCATTTTGACGATGACAACAACGATCACAGTCATGAAACCATAGAGTCATATGTAGAGCCTGTTGTTGCGATTATACAGGCTGCTGGTGATGTTTTAATAGTGCTGATGTTGATGATGTTGATGATGTTGATGAGGAGGACGAGGAGCAGAAGGAGGAGGAGGAGAAGAAATTTCTTGCACACCTGCAAAAACCACCGTCTTAGAGTGAGATCCGTATAAACGAACACCATAAACAACCCTAGCAAGGCAGGTTCTGCAGAGCCCAGGGAGGCCTTGAGAGATCTTCGGACTTCTGCAGTTGCACCCCAAACCCAGAACCCCAAAACTTGTAAACCCCACTTCCAAACCCCCGTCTCTAAACCACTGAACTGTAAACCCCTACAGTAAGACCAAAACACCAAACCTCCAAACACTAAACCCTCAACCCGTAAACCTCTAAAGCCCAAGACCCTAAGCCCCAAATTCTAAGCCATCAAGAGCGGCAAACTGCGATCGGAAGCTGAAGCACCAGGAGATTTGGCAGGCCTGGGTAGCTCTCTAAATTAGGGTCCCCTTCTAAGGGTTCCTTTCTGGAGAGCGGGCTGTCATGGGGCCTGGGTTTTGCATTTTATGTTTTTGGGCGTCTTTGGCGTTTTAGCATTATACGAAGCACCTATGCATGTGCATATATGTACGTACGTATGTATATATATATATATATATATATATATTTATACATGTGTGTGTGTGTGGTTGCAATTGCTTGTAAAAGGCCATGAGGGCCTATGAACATATAAAATGCATACACTCGAATACACGTGCACATGTATATATTCCACAGCTAAACTTACATGAGCACATGCACTGTTTATGTGCTTGCATGGTCATGGTACGAATAATAATCGCTAATTATGGCACCCTGTACGCAATGGACACCCGGCCACATCCGAGCGAAACGAAAGAAGACAAAGTATTTCACGCACCGTGCATTTGTTTCCACAACTTGGACTCTCGAAAATCTTTGGAGCCGTGTCGCCCGCCGTGTTCTGATTTCCTTGTGTGTTGAGTTGGCACATGTCCGTGAGTTTCCACTTTCTTCCCAGTTTGAAGATTGCAGTATTACCTACCTATGCGGGGCTTCACAACAGTATACAACAATGCTGACAATCGCAGGAATTTACTGCTGCAAACTGGGAGCATGTACATACATAGTATGTTTTATGCAGTGCTACAACACACATTGTGTCAGGGGTGCACACTGCCTGTATGTACACAAATCAGTGAGTAGTGTGTTTTAGATTTAGTTTCTATTGTAACGCAGTGCTACGTATTTGGAGCCTAGGGCCTTCCAGTTTCACAGCAATACATAGCTTTCTGTTCGGTTCATGTGATTTAGGTTGCGATGACCCTTGAACAGTTGTTTTCCCAGTTGCCACCCCACCACTTTCACATTAACACGGTCCTCAACTCGCATACACTCTGCATCATGGTTTTCCCAGTCGAAGATGCGTTTTTGTCGAGATCCACAATTTTTCAAAATATGGATGTATCACCACGTTCGTCGAAATCAACAGCACAAGGCAAGCGAATAGCGGAAATCAGCGAAACACAACAGCACACACAGTGTATATCGTCATATCCAGGAAGCAAAGGCTCGGAAGCCTTGCATTATGACATACATACAATACATCAGTGTCACATAAGTCACATAAGCTGATCTCGAAGTAAAGAACGCAATTTCCTCCAAAAACTGCTGTAGTGCTGGCAGTAGCAATGTCGGATATTGCCAGAATTTAGCTTCTATTGAAGAGTGAAACTATGATGGAATGTCAAAATAAGGCTTTGAGGGTTCTTTCTGGTCCCTAAACCCTAAACCGCCTTCCATCCCTACGACTGTCCTTGATGTGTACATCGCGACGGTCTGTGTACAGCCGAGACCCTGTGAACCGTGAGAAGATACAGCACTTCTGTAAGCAGCTCACGTGCCCTGAACAAACCATTTGTTCATAGACAGGGAAGGGTGATGTTATACAACTTGTTCACAAAGCATAAACTCATACACTTCAGACGCAAAAAGACATTGTAATTACCAGCGTTTTCACAACATCGGCGAACGAAGTTGTGTTGTGTGCGAGAAATACAGCAACTCGACGTGTTCTTCCAAGGAGGATAGACAAAGTGGTAAAGTTTGTGGAAATGGTGCCAGCGCGCGCTTGGTTTTTGGTGTGTTATGTGCATGGTGAGTGGGATTGGGGTTGGGGGTGGGGACGGGACGCAGTAGAGAGAGGGGAGGGGGGAGGGGGGGGGGGGAGGGGGTAGCAGGTCTCAACATGTCAGCCCCAAACCCTCAGCCCCCCCCCCCCCCCCCTCTTTCATCTTAGTTTGTAAACGCCAGCCCTGGTTATAAACACAAGCCATGCTTATAAACACAGACACTGTTTATAAACACAGGCCCTGCTTATAAACAACAACATTATTGATAAGCGACATAAATGTCTACAAGTACGAACAATACAGTAAATAACCCAGAACTGTTTATACAAGCATAGGATAGCAAGATGATGTGAAACAAATCGCTGCGAAACCGCGAAACGTGATGTGTCCCAAACGCAGGCCCCATGGTAGCCCTTTCTGTTCCTTTAAGGGGTCTATAAGGGTTAGTTTCTACAAGGGTGCCATAAGGACTGGGCCTCGGGTGGATTAGAGCTTACGGCTCCAAAACCCTTCATAAGAGATTTTGGAGCTGCTACCATAGTTGGCAGGGGCCAGTCTCTGCAAGACACGTTCTTCCAAGCGCCCACCGCAGTGGCAACGATGAAGTCTCTTAAGCTTCCTATGGCATCGAGACGAAAAAACCCAACAGCCGACCCCAGTTGTATTTCAGATGTTGTTGACTGTGCTTACACATAACCACAGAGCGAGAGAGAAAGAGAGAGAGAGAGAGAGAGACAGAGAGAAAGTATGCGAGTGTGTATGAATGTATGTATGTATGTATGTATATAAAGAGATAATTATAGACATATTTACAATATTGTATACACACGGTTGCACACGCACGCTCCAAGATGAAGAGCTTTTCTACATCGCACTAGGAAAAGCCGACGCGAAAATGAGCATGTAACAAGCACTGGTGAACCATGACAAAGAAGGCGGAGTTCAAGCTCGCGCGTACCTTGTAACAGGAGAGGACAGGAGAGCAAACGAAGTGCCAATAGAACAAGCAGTAAACCTCCCAAAAACGTCCACCCGGAACAAGCAATACACCCCAGAAAAGATAGCGCATGCAGAACCTCAAACCCGGAACCAATGCGTCGCCGGCACGTTCGCCATGCACCAGAAGGGCGACATGCGCTTCAGCATCGTAACCTTTGCAAGCAGCAACCCTAGACTTAAACCCCAAGCTTTAACTCGCAAACCCAGAATCCGAACCTTAAGACCCAAGCTTTAATCCCGAACCTTCCCGACCTTAACCCTGAATACTATAACCTTCAAACATCAAAACCCCCAAACCGATGCCCGAATCTCGGGCTATTACGGTCATAAACCAAGGGCTCTTGCTATGGGCCCCGTCAACCAGGTGGTTTCGTGCCAAGGTTTCTTTCCAAACTGTTTCCCACATTAGACTCATTAGACTTTTAGGCGGATGGGCAAGAATAGGCAAGCCGAGGATAAGGCGGAATTGGGATTTCACGAGCCGAAAGGCTTTGCACGTTGGAGTTCCCTCACATGATTGGCGTTGAGGGTCTGGCGGCCGTCTACTTCACCACGCTCCCCAGCAACCCTTGATAACAAGGTACCCGTTCTCCTGGAATCCAGCCTGTCAGTGAAGTCTCAGTGAAATCCCAAAATGAAAAGGTGTTCGGGTGCTGCTGGAGAATGTGCTTGGACAAAATCTGCACTAGCTTGAGTACCTAAAGGTCTGGGATTGTGCTGTTTTTTGCTGTGGATAATGCAGGAATAGCCCCGTCAGCACTATCTTCAAGTCATACACCCCCAAAAGCCCGAAAACCCCAAATCCCTAAACCACAAGCCATACGTGCAAAACTACCAAGGATTCCCTTTGATTGGGGTTTTTAGGGTTTTCGGGTCCAGCAGCCCAGAAACTTACTCCAAACCTCAACTAAAAGGAAAACCCTAAATGTAAGAATGTAGGAGTCTGAACATTTAATAATACTGCTGCTTTGGGAGTCTGATTCTGCCTGTGCCTGTGGTACATACCCGCAAACCTCTCAACCCCTCAGCCCTCAAACTACGTAAACCTGACAGTAGCAGCCTATATCTCCGATGCTATCAATCAAGATGCCCGTCTGGACTCTGCACCGAGCCGGCGAGGGCACTGGCAGAGTTGCCACAGCGTGAAGCAGAATTCCTCTGGTCTCATGGTGTGCCAGGTGTTGTCAGGGCTATTTCTGGGTATCAGAGGTTAAGAATGGTTTCGAGTTTGGGGCGTAGCGTTAGGTATGTGGATTCTGGGTCCGTGGCTTGAAAATTTGGGAACTGATTTAGGCTGAGGTCTCTATGGTTTCAGGTCTTCTAAACTCGGATACTCTTAAACCCCTACGGTCCTAAACCCGCAAATCATAAACCTTCCCCCAATGGCAAACAATCACAACCCTAACTCCGCACAGCTTTGGATTCAAGATTCTGCACTCTGGCGCGAGAACTGTTTAGGAAGTTCAGGCCTTAGAGTTTACCGCAACAAAAGCTCACAGCCACCCCACAGGACATCGAACTCTGAGCATCTGGGCCTGCCCCTACTATATAAGGGCTTAAGCTCATCATAGCCCCAGAGAGACTCTAACCCCAAGCCCTCAAACCTAAACCATAAGCATGAGACCCCAAGCCCAAACCCTGAATGATTCTGAGCCCTCAACACTAGGGCCCAGGTCAGAGGTTGCGTGCCGAAGCCAAAGACCAGAGGATCCACAGCCACGCTGCTACTGAAAAGCCTAGACTTTCTTTAGGTTTAAGGGTTTAGGGTTTTGGAGCCCTTAGAAAGCATGCAAACCCCTTTCTTCTCTTTAGACAACAGTGTAAATTTCGAGCCCCTTTAGAAATCATATACAGCTTGCAGTCGTCCCACTCAGTCTCCTTACAGTGCCTGGGGACCAAAGGACAGCAGTAAGCCGCTGTACCCAAACTTTAGGATTCCTACTATTGGATCTGTATGGATTCTACAAGAGTTCCATGATATCTCGATTTGGGAATTAGGGTCCAAGTACGAAAAAAAGGATTTCAGGCGTCAAAAACCACCCATTATTTTGGACACTTGGATGTCATGACACCTAGTGAACCATATTTCAATGATTCAAGCTCACTGAAGGCTCCGGTTGAACCGCGACCCCACCTTAAAACTCTTTCTCAACAGCCATCCAAAGTCCCCAAACCCCAAACTCAAAAGTTGGCGCCGGAAGTCACTCCACAATCTGCAAATACTTTGTGCCCAGCAGCAAGGAGGTAGATAACACCCCAAATTGCGAAGGCGTAGGGTGCGGGCCTCGTGGATGGAAGCTGTTTGGGGGGGTGGGGGGTGCCATAACGATTTGACAGGGCTCTGCTTTTCTGGTTCACCGCATGTCGAAAGGACCGCAACTCTCCTTCCCACACCCCCTGGCCTAAACCCAACCCCAGCAAAGAAATCTGGACACGCAGGAACAACAGCGCGATGCTGCACGATTTACCTACTTATGACATACGGAAATCCACGGGACCAGTCGCCCTGAACCCTAGCACATTCTAAATTTTAATAATTGACCCGGACCCAGACACTACCCTAAACCCTAAAATCACGATAAGCCACATGGGGAACCCTTGTAGGACCTTCGTTACACCTTAAGGTGAGGACCCTGAAACAGCATAACCTTGGCTGGCACCACAGTGCAGCCCCTGATTCATAAACCCTTGTTGCTGAGGAGCCTGCACTAAGCAAAACAAGCCCTGATGGATGCTGGGGCCGCGGCGTGAGGTAGTTCAGCCTTGGCTACATGCACAGGGAGCATCAGTGAGCTGTGTTGTGGCATTCCGGGTGTAAGCTGTATGAGGAACGGGCCCCTCTGTAAGAGCGTGTACGACACGAGCCAAAAAAAAAGAACAGGGCTTCCGGTTTGCAAATTCTAATACATGTACCAGGATGAGGGAGGAACAAGCTTACTCGTTGTGGAAGCTGCTATGTTGACTGCCCCTCAGCCCGTAATCCTTCAACGCCACACCCCAGACCCAAATCCTCAACCCGAAGCCTACACCGCCAGGGGTTGAGAGAAGTAGGGCTGTGCAAGGTTCAGGCCAGCTCAAGTGCTTGGCGGTTGTAGTGCTGCGAAGTCAAGTTTCTGAAGATCAAGCTTAAGGAGACAGATAATAGCTACTTATGTCTGGTGTATTGGTGTCGAAAAAACGGTTCGGCCCCTCATCCCCTTCCCCCTCTCCCAACAACCCTGCCCCTTTCACTCCTCCCCCCTGTCTGTGGTATTCTGTGCTTCTTCGTGTCATGGTTGGTGGCCTCTCCTCCCCTTCAACTGCCCATAAGGCGAAAAACCAGACAATGTTGACTCCTCGGGTTAACAAAATTGTGCGTGGTCGTGCTGCGGCTTGAAGGAACACCGCTCTATACATGCACGACAGGCCTTCGTCAACCCTCCGAAAGGTTAATGACTTTGGCGCGGCAGCACCATGAAGCGTGAGCCCACGGTTACTACTGGTTTAAACTTCTCCCCAGGATTGCCCAGAACCCCAAACCCAATCCCAAAGCCCCGAACCAGCATCGAAAACCAAAACAACGAAGATAGAAACGAACAAGCAAACTTCTACATCCGGAACAGTGACTAAACTCCAAAACCTCAGCCCTACACCAAAAGCCCGAACCCATACTTCCAAAACGGATTGCTGCTAAACCCGAAAGCCTGAGCCCCAAACCCAGAACTTTGAGCCCTAAACCGTAAAACTCCTCTGAAGGGGCCGAAAAAACAACTCCGATCCCCAAACCAAGAAGCCCCAAAGCCCCGAAACCTGAAGCCCTCAACCAAGCCCCAATGCCCGAAAGCCCTAAAAAAGGCCCTCAGAAGTTCTAAAAGCCTAAAAGAAACACAGCCCTAAACAGTGCAAACCCCTAAACAGGCGCAGCAGAGCCGCGGCATCAGCCTCGGCTTCGAATTCAGCAGAGGCGAGGCTCGGGAAGCTCAGGGTGAAAACAGGGCTCTAAGTAGACGAGACAGGATTCTGAAGGATGTTCATAGCTGGGCTTTATCTGACTTTTTATGCTGCTTTAATAATATTATAGGGTTTGTACGGGGATTCACAGGGGTGACAATGGGCTTCTATGATTGCTTTATGAGGTCCCATGACTGTGGTAATCGGGTCCTAAGAATTAGAAAAGGTTCTGCGGCATATCCTGCCATGATTGCACAGGGACATACGGGTACTGCGCAGTAGGCCTGTGGGGTTTCGCATTGGGCTTCAAGCCAAAATTGGGGCTTTGAGGGGGCTTCGGGAAGGACCAAGAGGAGCAGCAGCAGAAGCAGCAGCACAAGCAGCAGCAGAAGCAACAGCAGCAGCAACAAGGGCAGTATCAAGAGGAGCGAGGCAGCAGGAGCAGGGGCAGCACGAGGAGCAGTGGCTGTGGCAGGGGCTTGGGCAGGGGGCGAGGCGGCACAGAGGGTGGGGCTAGGGCCAGGGCAGGAGCAGTCGCAGTGGTACGTAGGTGCTGCGGCATGGTTGAGTGTGTACGATTTGATATGTGAAGGCTTCTTTCCGGTTGGAAACATGAACAACGAATCCCGTTGTTTTCACTCTTGCCGCTGTGATTCTCTGATGTCATCACGACTGTTTGCAGTGCTGTACGTTTTTTGCTGGTATTTCTTATCTAATGCTGCTGCGGATACTACTTCCCACTATACCTCTACTTCTAGCCATTTTCTTCCAGTGCTACAGTGCGCCACTGCTGCTAGATCTGCTAGTCCTACTGCTGCAACGGCAACTTCTTCTGCCAGTCGCACACCGCGCAACCCAACAAGTCTCTGGAATCTGTATCATAAAATCTTTGGCCAGGCAGCATGGTGTTCTGCGAAGCATCCAGCCGCGGAATGCTGCGAACTGCAAGGACATTTCCGGCCTGGAAACGGGGGTGGGGACGATCAAAGGCTTCAAGGAGTTAAGGGTTTCAGGTTTTGGGTGTAGAACGCTTCGAGGGTATAAGGCTTTGAGGCTCCAGGGTTCGAAAGGTCTCGGGTTTGAACGGGGCCTTTGAGCGAATAGACTTTGAGGCTTTGCGGTCGAACAGCCAGCTTGACCTTCATTGTCTTCTTCCCTTCTTTCCGAAGGGGCTTCCGAGACGGTAATTGTACATCTCGTTGAAAGAGGAGGAAGAGCAGGAGGAGTAGCAGTTGCAGTAGCAGTACTTGCCAGGGCGACTACGCGAGTTAGTTTAGCAGCAGCTGCAGCGGCAGTAGTAGCAGCGAGAATAATTGGTACTGTACCAGTTAGTACTAGGACTTGCACTAGCATTGGTACTGGTGCTGGTACTGGTAGAAGAAGTAGTTTAGTGGCAAGGGAATGAAGCAAGTCGAGTGGAGTGTAGTGGAAGGCGACCAGGACCATGCCCGGTCCAAAAAAACGGTACTGTATCAGCTCCGGCCCGGAGGCTTCAGGAACAAACTGCAACAGAAGGAAAACAAGAAGGACAAGCGAACGGGAAGCAAAACACCAAACCCAGCAGCCAGACCGAAGATACATGCCCCAGATCGGGGAGAGCACCAGCCCACCGATATCCCCAAGAGTACTTAGCCAGCCCGACACCACCGCATTGCACACCCATACTCAGTGCAACTCTGTTGCCTTTCTAAGTGCAGTCATGGCCGACCGGCCACCCGATAAGGTTGGGAAGGGCTGTGAGTAATCCAACCGCCTCCGCAAGTCTTAAGGTCTTGCATCAGGCGGAGTCTCGTCTGAAAGCTCCTCATCCATGAACGAAGAAGCCATCTAGCTTTCACTGGGGCCCGGACAAAGAAAGCGGCATTCGCGAGCTGCCAGGACTCCATGGCTAGGAAGTGCTTAACAGCCCAGAGCTCCTCCCAACGTGCGAGAACCTGAGCCCAAATGCCCTGAATTAAGAACAATAACCTCTCAGATTCTAGAAGGCTTCTTGAGCATGAGTTGAGGAAACTCCTAAACTGCTAATCGCCATAAGAAAAAAGCAAGAAAGCTTCGAAACCCTAAAGTCCAAACGATCCTAGATCTCTAGACCCAATAACTTCCACATCTGATCTCTGTCGCAAAGATCCAGCAGCTTCGAGAACGCGCATTCTGGTAGCTTATTTGAGATGTAGCGGTTTAGGTCATTGCTCCACCTGTGGCCCCTAGGCCCCCTGTTGCAGTTCACAAGATCTCGCATAGGTCCCTAACCGCTATACCCGCAAAAGCCTTCCCCAAGGCTTTTCTGACGAACCTCCGCCTTTAACCCTGATCCCAGAAAGCCAAACAAGCCTTAATTCATCTGCATGCCGATCATCATCACAGTATTGGGCCATTCGGGAAAGAACCCCACAACCGCAGACTCTAGATTCATTCATTTTACCCACCTCCCTTCCGCAAAAAGCATAACCTGTATTGATCCGGTGGCCTCCAGCAAAATCCAGTGAAACCCTGCCAAAATCGTGGAAGTACATCCCCTTATTTTCCGTCCCCCTTCGGATAAACCCAAGGCCCTGACAGCTCGCACGTCTTCTTGGAGAACTTTGCCTCCAAACTGTCCACCTGCATGAGACGAGTTTGGGGTGTTAAGGTCGCGGGCTTTTGGGGTTTTGGGATTTCAGGTCGAGGGTGTTAGGCCTAACTGTTATGGGGTAAGGGTTGCGGGCAGTGGGGTGTTAGGGCATTCGTACGGGTGTTCGGCTTAGGCATATTAGGGTTCACAGGTTTCAGGGGCAGCAGTCGCACCTTCGCCCTACTGTGGCCTCTGCTGGGCGCTACGCAAGTTCAAACAAAGAAACCTTTCGGAACTCTATACACCCCTGATAGAAAGCTTCTGCAACCTTCTAAAACCCGTATGTCTCACCAAGAAACTTCAAAACGCAACCTCTACGCGGGGGCCTCGCTCTGCGTAACTGGCCGTGGCCAGGGCAAGTCCAAGGACGCGCCGTCAAGGACCAAGCGCAGCGCCTGTGAAAGAAAGTCTTGTGAGGTTGAGGATTTAGGGTTGAGGGGTGTGGGGTGTGAGGTGCTAGAGCCTTAGGTTTCGGGCGGAAGGGTTTAGGGGTTGATTCGGAGGTTTTGGGAGAGTGGTCTGCATCAGACAACTTTGGCTTGGCTGTTTGGAAGTCTTGTCCCTCAAGGTTTGGGGGGCAGGCCCGTTTTGGAAGGCTGAACTCGCATGGTGTCGTAGTACTGCGATCCGCAGAACGGATCCGCTTTTGTACTGTGTTGGTTCGCTTCCATTGGTGCTACCAGTTGTTGTCTCTCTGCTCTTGCTCGAAAACTTCCCTTCAAGTTTGAGGTGTCGAAAGGTTTTGCATCAACATCGAAAAAAGCACTGGAAACCCGTGAAAGGCTGCAGGTCTGGTGGTGAGGTGGGGCAGTGCCACATCCGTGGTCTGGAGCTGCAAATCTTTTCGCGATCGTGGAACCCATCCCGCACACTGGCTCATGACTGTAAGCGATGGATTGCAGATGCTGTCCATGCAGAAACCGTTCAAGTCAACATGTATCATCAAACCTGTGTCGTCCGGAAGCTCGCATATGACTTCAAAAAATTGACGGAAAGCAGAGCGTTGTCGTCTGACACATCCATGCCGGATCCAGCAGCTTACCGCGGACATGGCGTTCTCAAGAGCCAGCATCCAGGCTGGTTTGCCGGTGCTGTTTGCCAGATCCTTGTCGGCGCCGGCCTCCAGCAATCGGAGGACTTCCACATGACCTTCGGAAGATGCGAACATCAAAGGTGTGATCCCTTGTGCACCTGCCAAACCCTTGTCGGCACCAGCCACAAGCAGCAGGCCGACGACTTCGACATGTCCTTTGTGAAATGCACCCATCAAAGCTGTGATCCCATTTTTGCCCGACAAAGCCGCGTCGGCCAGCCATCAGCAGCGAGCGGACGACTTCGGCACGACCTTTGTAAGATGCGAACATCAAAGGTGTGCTTCCATCTTCGCCTGCCAAATCCGTGTTGGCACCGGCCTCCAGCAGCAGACGGACGACTCCGACATGACCCTTGTCAGATGCCTTCATCAAAGCTGTGTTCCCGCAATTGTCTGGTACATCCTTGTCTGTGCCAGCGTCCAGCAGCAAGCGGACGACTTCGACATGGCCGTTCCAAGATGCGAAATTCAAAGTGGTCTTGCCGTCGTTCACGCCGCCCCTGAATGCCACATCGCTCTTCGGTCCGGCTTGCAGCAGCAGTCGCACCGTCTCGACATGACCATAATAGGATGCAAACCCGATCGGTCGACATCCGTTCGAGTCGAATAAGTTGGGATCTTGCGGCAGCTGCAGCATGGACTCGACGTGACCACTCACGAACAGCACGAACCCGGCAGCCAGCCCTAAACCCTAAAAGTCTTCAAGTCCGGCCCCAGGCTGTAGACTCGAGACTGCCTTGCCCCGAACCCCGGAAGCCAAATCGGCAACTGGCAAAGCATGCCAGGCTCGAGAAAAGAAAGCGCATGATCAAATATAGTAACATTAATAATGCCGACCCCTGATTCATAAACACCTTGCTTTGCGGGTCCTGATATTACCATCCCTATTCAGATCCCGTTTTAAGTAGTGGGTTTGTTGATCAGATCAGGGATATCCTTTAATCTTGTCACTAGCGAATAAGGCCTAGTTGAGTGAGTTAGTTTTGGAAAGTGCGCTCCTAAGTGAGCTCCTTGTCATGGGAGCCCCCCACACCCTTGGAATGGGAGGAAGAGTGACGGCTTCCACTAACAAACGGCATGTGCTGTTTCAGAATTGCCCACCTCGGCCAGGCTGCCATGCCTCGCAGCAGTGACCAACTCCCCCACCTGCTCTTGAGAACTCTCCACAAATGTCAACAAAACGAGGTCCAAGTCCGTCGAGGATTCCCAGCATCCTCCAATCTCTCGACGTGGAGCAGAAGCCTCTGCCTAAATCGTGAGGGGCAGCCATGTAGCCGATGTAAGTGCAGCTTCATGCACCTCACATCTTGTACCTCCTCTAGAGGTATGCTCGCCAAGGTATCTCCGGAAAGCATCCTGATTCGCAGCATCTGTGCGAGATGGTGAAACCGGCGGGTTTGACCGACTAGAGCGAGGGCCTGACTGACAAGCCAAAACGTGCCGCGGCCGTATGCGAACCCTTCCCGAGGATGTTGAAACACTGTGATTAACCGGCTGTTCGTGAAGAATGAAGAGCTGTCATCCACGCCCCTCGATGACAAAACAGAATGTGTCCTCGTCTGGTGAAGGGTTGCGGTTAGGAGATCTTGCTTTCCAGACCGGGTCACAGGATGGCACTGAAGTAGGAAGCACCTAGTTAGTCCTTGCGGCCTATGCTGACGATGATGGTGAAGAAGAAGAAGAAGATGATGATGATGAGTATGAAGATGAGGATGAGGAGGAAGATGATGAGAGGAAGATGATGAGAGGAAGAGGAAGAGGAATATACGATGATGTTTAGTGGTGATACTCTGACGATGGCGGGTACGATTGGCTTACTTCGCCAAAGGCTACCAGGATAAGGGGCGCAACTATGTGCTTTTGCGACAATGGATCAACAGGAGCCAAGGGCAGAGTGCTTCGAATATCCTTGTTGATAACCGTAAACCCTAAACCCTAAGCCTTGGCAGTCGATTTCCTGAACCAGCCACGGTGAGAAGAACAACCTTTGGCACGCACGACCGACTCATCGAGACAGGCAAATGTCAGGGGAAGGAGAAGCGAAACTCTCGGATTTTCCCGCCGGCAGCAATTATGACAGAGTTGAGGGTTGCTGCTTCCTTGCCCTTTCAACTGTCCGCTGGCCACTATTCACACATTATTCACATGTGACATCCGGTTCTGCTTTGTCTTCCAACATTTGTTTGCGTCAGGTCCGGATTGAGGTCTGTAGCCCAAGGGTATCCGAGCTGGGAACACACGACACCTCTACGTCCCGTTCGCACACAGGACCTAGGAGTAAAGACTGAGATACATCAGAACAGCCACAAAGACCTCTGATTTTCAGAACCACCGAGATTGTGCCTGGACAGAAGCATCGAGCTGGATGCCGCTAGCATCTGGAGCTGGCAGTCCCAGGACCTTCTCAAAAAAGGGGGGTCTACTTTTGCGGCTGAGGTCTTCCTGGCTTTGGAGTTTGCGGTTTAGAGCTTGAGAACTTTGAGTTTAGGGTTTCGAATTTGGAGGCTTTGGGTTGAAAGCAAAAGGGCATTTTAGCCGACTGGAACTTCACAGTTCCAGGGTTGCCGGATCCGATGCGTTGGGTATCTTAACAAGGTTCTGCAGGCGTAAGGAGTTTCAATGGTGCCAGGCTAGACTTAATAGTCACCATGCATCACCAATGCGATTCATGCACCTGAAATCACTCATGTTGACGGAGGGCCAACACAACAGCAACAAAGCTCTCACCATCTCATAGCCATTTCGAAAGCTACATTACCACAGGCCCCGACTGAAACTAACTTGTAGGAGAATAGCATGTGCTTTGGGCTATTCGGATATTTGGAGCCGCAGGGTTCTCGTTGCGCCTGCTGGATTTTCTAGCCCTGAGCCGCCGTAACCTCCCAAGTGGGGCGAACCCACCAAAGTCCTACATTGGTCGATTCTGCGCTGCGCGCTCCTTCTGGAGAGGCAAAGCCCCGAAGGTACTCTCGCTTTTGCATTGTGCGAACCTTTTGGGAAACTCACCTGCCTTCAGGCGACACGCTCGCAGGAGTAGCGGGCGCCACTATACTGACTGCTCTGCGCAAAGACTTTTCACCAACCCCACATCCACATCCCCAAAGCCACATCGTTTGAGCAAGCGCAACCCCAGGACCCACCATACAAACAATGCTTGAAAGAGCCCGACCCAGCGGCTGCCA